CGGACGGCTGCCCCAGTCAGGCCGGCCTGACATGAAGTTTCCTCCTTTTAGTAATACCCAAATTGGCTGTATTGACTGATTTTACTGAAATTTATGAAATTTTGGCAAAAGTGACTAGCTAATTTATGAGAAAACTAAATTTAAAATATATTTTATTAATAAAATCAAGAAACAATAGTATGAAAAATATAGTTAAAAGGTTCCTCCACCGTAACGTCAGCCAATACAACCGAAAAAGTAACTACAACCTTACTTTTTCTTATTATTACGTAATTCCACAAGAGTTACTAAACTGAGTCACTAAACACTCTATTATTGTGTTTGCAATAATTATTTAATTTACTGATCTTTTTAATCATTATTCATTTTTAATCTTCATATTCTTGTTGGTTGATTTCATATTTACATATAGTGATATAGGTGCTTAAAAGAGTAGAGAAAACTACCAGGGTTATCACCAAAAGAAATGGTTATTCTTAAAATATGATTTAACGGTTTTTTCTTCTTCTTCCAAACGTAATGATGTTTTCAGGTATGATATATGTCTTGATGCTACTTTTTCTCTCTCAGTTTAGTTGTCACTCAAACTTAGGTTATGTTTGGCTGACATAAGTCTATAGCTTTTGACTTTTGTATTATTTAAAAAGTCTCTAAAAGTTGTTAGTTGTTTGTTTGGCGCGCCAATTTTTAAGAGCTTTTCAAAAAATAAAAGCTCTTTTTTGAGATGCTACAGGTAGTAGCATCTGAGAAAAGTCTGTGACTTTTAGCTTTAATAATTCCTAACAGCTTGTATGCCAAACAGAACTAAATCAAACAATCAGCTTTTTACCAAACAGCTACCACCTTTTACTTTTAAGATCTTTTCAGTCATTAAAAGCTAACAATTACAAAAAAATCACAAAAAGATCTTTTCAGCTAATTGTACCAAACATAGCCAAACGTTCTTTTTTAGTTGCGACATCCCCTTTTTCGCATTTGCCAACGCACATCTTTGACCGTAATTATATTTAATTCTCTATTAATAAAAGCATTTTAAAAATCAAATTATGAAACTTTGTAATGAGACGAATTCAACAATATTTTTCAAAAATATTAATTCACATATATTAATAAATAAAATATAGTCAAAATAGGGTACATGAATAGTGTATAAATTTCAATGTTGCAACTAATACGATATGGAGGATGGTACTTGGTATTAGAAATCTATGAATGTTTTAATCGCTATGATAAATATTCCAAAGGAGTATTCATAATACTTCTATTAATTTTATCAACCACTAAATCAAATAAAAAAATTATGTTAAATGTAATTATAGAAGATTTGTTTTCTTAAAAAAATATTTGTTAAAAAATACAAAAAAATCATTTATTCCTATTTTGTGCAAACTTGAAAAAGTAAATGACGAGTAAAACTTAACATTTTTGCCTAAATATGAGTTAACCCCTAACATCTCTAAATAGGAGTAAACCTTAAACTTCTACCTCAAATACCCCTAATCTATTTAAGTAATTTCTCCCCTAATTCCCTTGGACAACAAGGGCAGTCCGTTGGTGGAGGGGAAGTCCGGTAGCGGCAGCGGAGCTCCAGTGATCTGTGCCAGCGGCGGTAGAAGAGTTGGGGCAAAAAAATGTGAACTTTTTCTCCCGCCGGAACTCCGGCGGCGGGCAAACGGCGGCTGGGATATTCTGGGCGGCTGACAAAGTCTGGCGGTGGCAGGGGCATTTTTGTCCAATCACAAAAAACTCCTATTTTGGCCATTTTAATACTACTATTCCTTTTTGTGAACATCTCTTATGTTTTACTCCCATTTGGGTAATTATAACTCAACTTATTAGAAATATTTCACACTGTAGCGACTGCAATATGCATCACAACGACCGCATTAGCCGCAACCGCAATAACCCCAACCGTTGTCGCAATTTAAAATCATGGTACAAGTCATTAACATGACAATACTTACTATCATTAATAGTAGTAATTGTTAATCATGACAGTAACAACTCTTTTTTAGAGAAGAAAAATATATATTAATCATATTTTAGAATTCTAAAACGTTTTTATTCCTGAGAAATTTGCAATTTTTGTCCCGTAACTTTCGGACGTTTTCATTATTAGTCTCATAACTTTAATCACTTGCAAATTTAGTTCTGTAACTAATTAATATTTGCAATTTAAGGACATTTGACCTGAAAAGTACACTTTTCAGCAATAGTATACCGAAAAAGATGTCGTCAGCGTCAGATTTTTCTACCAGAAAGTGTACTTTCCGGTGAAAAAGTCCTTAAATTGCAAATATTTATTAGTTATAGGACCAAAAATTTGCAAGTGACTAAAAGTTACAGGACTAATAACTTTAACAGCCGAAAGTTACAGAACTAAAATTGCAAATCTTCTTTTATTTCTATTTAGGACAATTTCCATAGTACAATTCACATAAAACAAACATTTATTGGATTACACTAGTTTATATTTGATCATACTAATCTAAAAAAATTCAATCTAAGTAAAAAAATACCATGAGTAACATTTGTTGGATTAGATGTGAAGTAATTTCATCTAAGGATGTTTTAATTAGATTGTAATTTTATGATGTGGTCTGGTTTGATATGGTTTAGTTTGATAAATACATTATCTCTTTGTAATTTATAAGTGTCTAAGTCTGATCTGGATTGAAATCAATCCAAGTAGAAACATCCTAAGATCTAAAATGGGAAAAAACCACATAAAAATTGCCTGCAATTATGTGCGACACTCAAATAAGTTTTACGGCCTGTTTGGATTGAGTGTTAAGGAGGGTTAGTAATGAAAGTGTTAGTAAGGGAAAAGAAGTGTAAGTGTAGTTAGACATAATTTTACCTTGTTTGGGAGAAATAAATGAATGAAGTGTTAATAATTAACTCTACCTTGAGGCAGAAGAAACGAGTAAGGAAAAAAGATGAAAAATACAAACAATCAACCTGCGGGAAAGAGATTCGAAGTGAGATGTCGAAGCATTTTATGTTTTTAGGATATATATGAGAAGGGTAATAATTATCCAACACCTCAAAACACTCCAAATCGGGGTGTTCAAAAGTGGGCAATTGAGGTGTTGTAAAGGTTATTATTAACACTTCCCAACCTTTACTAACACTTATTAACACCTCTTAATTTTTCTCCCAAACAAGTGTTAGTATCAACACTTACTAACACTTCCATTACTAACACTCCATAACACTCAATCCAACACTGATTTGTCTGAAAATAAATTACATATATCTTTAAACCTGATCTCATTCAATCGCAAGGTTTCTCCAAAAGTATAAGTTAATAAAAAGTAGACAAATATAACTCAAACAACATATTGGAAGTATATATAAGTGAGTAACAATAGTATACATATACTATCCTGTATATATATATATATACAGAAATGCTCAAGTCCAGCCGGAGGGACGGGAGCAGCCGTCCGAACTTCACTGTTTGGGGCAGTTTCCGGTGGAATTTTTTGATGCATTTTTTTTAGCATGTTCTTCATCAAGTCTAGTTTATCCATACCAAATTTCAGCTCAAAATTCGATCGGGAAGGCATTCAAATCATTTTTTTTAAGTTGATTGTGTTTTTATATGTATATTTTGGCGCTGAAATTTGGTATTTGAGCTGAAATTTGGTATGAATAGACATGACTTGATGAAGAACATGCTCAAAAAAATTCATCAAAAAATTCCCACGGAAGCCGCCCCAAACAGTGATGTTCGGACGGCTGCTCCCGTCCCTCCGGCTGGACCTGAGTAGTCCTCTATATATATATACTAGTATTTATTAATAATAATTTCACAAATGATTTGTAATATTATGTTTAAGACTTTAAGAAAGTTCAGAGGGGCAGTGTGCGATGGAGCGCAAACATTTGGGGCCAACACCCTTGGCTTCATTGGGAATCTTTCACTTCAATATCTTTCGAACTTTCATTGATTTTGCAACGGCATTATCTACTTATAATTTGTATATGATATACTGTAATAATTTATTTAAAACTAAAATAAAGATGATTGATAAAATGTAACCTCATATCTACCGTGACTATATCAACAATTTTTATTAATATAATATATTAATATAATAATGTTCAATTTTAACCTAAGTAATGATACTAAAATAACTGTAATCACATTTGTATACATAATTTCCATTTCACTTATATTTTGGCAAAAAAAACCCAAGCTAGCTATATTGAAACATGTTTTTTTAACAAACTGTGAATGTCTTAAACCCCCCAGAAATGCAACTAAATAGGTCAATCCATTTATTAGTCAAGGATAAAAGAAAATTGATAGCTAGGCAAAAACATTCGCAGCCATTTATCAACCAAATAACTTCACAGAAAATATTATAGAAATTGCCCTAAATAGGAGCAAAAACGTTTTGAAATTCCAATATAGGAGTATCATGTTTTTTATTTCCTAAATAGGAGTAATCTGCCAAGTTTGGAAGAAAATGTCATGTTTAAATCTTAGTAATGCCAAACTTGAAAAAAATTTACTCCTATTTTGGAGTATTTCAAAACTTTTTTACTCCTATTTAAAGAATTCTCTCAAAATATTAAAACATGTCAAAATACTGATAAGCTTAATGAATACACGAAAATTTCGGAAACTTTTATCTATATTACGTATTTTAATAAGGTTAAAAGTAATAAAAAAAATCTCATATAACTTCACAAAAAATATTAAAACATGTCAAAAATTATCTTTAAAAAATCTTAAATATCCATATCCTCATTATGCAATATCTTCAATCAAACTTACAAAAAAACGAATATCGAATTATCCCCAAATTTTATTTCACATAAAATCGATATTTGTATCATTAATTAGATACAAGTCAGCTCTCGGTCATAAGCAGTATATAAAACAACAACTATTATTATTAACATATGATAAATCAACATAAGAAATTAATAAAAAGAAGAAATTAAATAAAGGAAAGAAAGAAGTAAAAGAATGATTTAAGGGTTACTTGGAGCTAGCATATTGGAAGAGCTTTCCGGTGGCGGAGAAGATGATGAGAGCGAGGCCGGCGTCGCAGAGGACGGCGAGCTCCTCCGCCTTCTTGAGGAGCCCTCTTCTCCTCTTCGAGAACGTCACCTGCCGGGCCGTTAGGCTGTCGATCTTCTTAATATTTATCTTCTCCCTCACCATCGATCTACCCACCACTATATATATAAATAAACATATCAATTTAATTAATAAAGAAAGCTATATATATGTCACATATATTACTACCAGATCAGATCTTCAAGCTTATGAAAATGGAGTATATTAACTTCCCTTCTTTCACGGATCGGAGGAGTATGGATCTATGTATCTTCAATTCTATCTTATATAGCTGATGATGAGGGTAGAAAGAAAGGGATAGAATTAAAGTTTAGGGATACGGAGGAATGATTTTTTTACCATAGTGGGTAGCTACTAGCGAGCACGTACAGTGTACGAAGTCAGAGAGTTACTCTTTAGTTACTCTTTAATTACTTTATATAGCAACTTGGGAGACTGCCCATGTCCTTATACGCGTCCCAAAAGGGTAAAAGAGGGGAAATAAGAGGAGAGTAAATCACTCATCATTCAGCTGGCTGGATGGGCACGCCCTTTGTTGCTGTGCCCTAGAATATGTCTGGACATGTATTACTGTCTCTTCCTCCCTGCCCCAACCCTCCACTTGGTTACTATCATTGTTGCTTTTGACTGTTCAAAAGATTTTTTATGCAAAGATCTTCTCAAAGAAAAAATAGGGGAATGTGCCTAATACTCTAGTAACTTTGTACTCCCTCCGTCCCAGAATTGGCACGGAGATTAAGAAAGTGGAAAATGTGTGGTGGAGAGTTGTGCAGAAGAGAGAGAAACGTGTAAGAATGGTTGTGAACCACAAATCCTTTGCTAAAAAGGGAAAGAGGAGATAAATTTGGGACGGACCAAAAGGGAAAGAATGAAGATAATTATGGGACGGAGGGAGTAGTACATATGGATATCAAGATATGCCCTTCAAGTTTTAAAGTTGTTTTTAATAAATTGAAATTTTGTAATTATATCTGTTCTGTTTAAGTTTGGTTGCTCTTATCTAAACTGATATGATTTGATATATATATATCTGTTTTATATGTATTTTACCACTTCTGTATACACCCTTTCTAGTTGGATGTGTATACAGGCAATTCTTTATGAAACTGTCTGTTTACACAGACAACGAACAAGGAGTGTGTACACAAAATGTTTACAAGTCATGTGAACACCAATAATAGTTAGTTCTGTTAAGTATGGTTTGATCTTGTCTAAATTGATACATAGTATTTCTTTTGTGTGTATATTACAACTTTTATGTGTATTTTACAACTTTTGAAGTCATGTATGTGAAATATTTAGGCCATGTTTACTAACAGAGATATTTTCCAGTTTTCTAGAAAACTGGAAAACTAGAAAAAGGAAAACAGAAAACGTGTTTACCAAAGTAAATTGCTGGAAAACTGGAGAAAAGAAAATAGAGAAATGCGTTTACCATATCGTTTTCCAAAACCAAAAGATTAAGATATGTCTCTGTTTTCCTTAATGAATTGGAGAAGTGACTTTTACTATTTTTCCAAATTTCGAAAACGTCGATGCTGCAGTGCCGCTGCAATGAGTTGCATACTTACGCCTAGTAGTGGACACGGTCATGCTTCGGTGTCAGTTCTAGTCCGGTCCGGCTAATGACCCGATGGTCCCTATTTGGTCTGGTCAATGACCCAGCGGTCCGGACCAGTATTGACCCGACGCACGGTCCCTATTAGATCGGTCGATGATCGAGCAATCCCGGTCCAGTCCGATCGACGATCTGACGGTCGTAGTTCGGTCCGGTCGATGATTCGGCAATCTCTGTTCGATCCGTTCCACGACCTGGCAGTCCCTTTCTGGTCCGATCCACGACCCAGCGGTCTCTATTCGATTCGATCGATGACTCCACGATCCCGATCTGGTCCGGTCGATGACTCGACGATCCCGGTCCGGTCCACGACCCGGCGGTCCCTGTCCAGTCCGATCGATGACCCGATGGTCCCTCTTCGGTCTGATCCACAACCACCTGGTCAATGACTCGACAGCCCCCATTCGGTATGGTCAACTACTTGACGGTCTCTGTCCTACCCGGTGAACCACCCAGCAATCCTGTTTTATCCGATCAATGACCCTGTGGTCCCTATCTTGTCCAGCCAATGACCCGAGGGTTTGTGTTCGGTCTGGTCGACAATCGGACGGTCTTGGGCTAGTCCCATCAATGACCCAATAGTCCCTGATCGGGCCGGTCAATGACATGGTGGTTCAGTCTCGGTTTTTTGAAATCATTTTTGAAGTGAACAGTTTTAAAAGAACCGTTGATTTGTCAACCAATCGGGAAATGAGAAAAGAATTCGTCAAACCAACCATTCAGATCGATCGGGAGCAACCAGTTTCGATCCCGACTTTCATATATGTGGGACGTGGTACCTTACTTGGGTTGTACTAGGTTCGGTTCCAAACTGCTAGCGTTCTTTTGATTTTCTGGTCAGTCGCAGAATCGGGTGAAAAAAATTGATGATCATGTTTTCAGATTTGAAAATGGAAAACTAAAAATGAAAACAAAGAATTGGAGATAGAAAAACAGGAAAATGAAAACAAAAATTCTGAGAACGAAAAACAGAAATAGAAAATTAGAAAATATCTCTGTTAGTAAACATGCCTTTAAGTTTTTTCTTTTTTGATCAAGCAGTAAAACCAGTCCATTTAATAACATTCTGAAATATGAAAAAATACCCTTCATTTTCCTCTCAATGAGCAAATTAGCCCTTAATACATTAAATAAAATATAATAATTAAAAACGCCAAACAAATTAAAACAATTTCAGTTTGGAAAATTGAAAAGTTTTAAAGGAAATACCTATTTTTCTTATGAATATAGTAACCTATACCAGAAATAAAAAAATTAAAACTATTCTAGAACAAAATAAATATAAGAACAAATTTCACTAATATTACTCGTGAAAAAGTGATGCATAAAAATGTGACTTGGTAACTTTTAGTGATTATAATTATGTTCAAAGTTACTATAATGTAGTGACTATGATAAAACTTACTTAATCCTATTATAGTTTTTTTTCTACATTTTATTCCCATTTTGACCAATTCCAAAAAAACTAAACAAAAACAGGATAGACAAATTACGCTATAGAGTTCTCTAGAATGAGGCCATATGAGTCATGTTCTTTGTCTAAATCCACTGAACTGCAACCTAGCTCATCCCATCATCTCCCAAGATCACATTTACTCCATCCGTCTATAAGATTTTGTCAAATTTCATTATTTTTCTGTCTAAAAATAATTTATCAATTTTATTTAAAGAAAAAATGTATGATTAATTTTTTTTTTTTGCACAAACTAATCTTAACCGTACCTCAGATTTTATTTTATATAAATAACATTATTTTACGTGCAAGTTTAAATTGGCCATGTTTTATTGGAGGGGAAGTAATTTTTATAAGGTCATGAATATTTAGGAGAGAGCTAGGAACGGAGAACTACTGTCAAGCACATGCTCGAATGCAGCTGTAGCCAGCTGCAAAAGTTGGGTAAATTGATACAAAAAAACCTTTTCAAATAAAATTTCACACACAAAATCTAACCATTTTTCAAATTGGAGTGGACCTGAGCCGTTGTTTGAATGGAAGTTTTTGCTGGAAAAGGATTTGATTGGGCAAATTGTTTATTATATTTAGGTAGATTCTATGGTACCCATAAGGTACCGTATCTTTGTCCACATGGACCAACCAGAATCATGCAGTTGAATTATTTAAATGTAAATTAAAAGGGATTTAATGATTTGGACCAATCAAATGCATGGTAGGTACGGTACCCCCATTTTTTAAATGGGTACCGGAGTTGTCACCTTATATTTAAAAACAAGTCATCGGCTGTGTTAACCTTTAAAATATTCATAGGCTACAATCCGCAATTATGCTTCCTTAATAAACTAAATCAATTTACATTTAACACGAGAATTGCATATTCGTTTCATCAATCCAATTGAAATACGAGACTTACTTTTATTATTAAAATTAATATTTTTAAAAAATACTTTTTTATGAATAATCATATTAATTTAAAAAGTCAAACATTCCGATGTAAGATAAATAAATTTGAAGTTTATTTTTGGGGATTTTGACATAAATATTACTAAAAAATATGCAAATAAAAAGAAACCTTTTTTCAAATTTTCCAAAAATGTGGCTAATAAACACCTAATTCTCTAAATTACCCTTCCCCTGGTTGACCGCTGCAGGCATATAACTAAGCCGCAAAATTTCCGTACAGTGCACTACTTATCAATGTCATTGCATTCTCTAGCAATTAATTTTTTATTCTATTTTAAAATTATTTCGAATAATAGATACGGAGTACGAAGTATTTGGATGTAAATTTAGAAGACTTAAATATTTAAATTATTACACAAAAATTAATGTGAATATTGTCTCAGTTACTACCAGTGTTTCTGTGACCACCATTCCAGTTACTACCGCCGCTCCAGTGACCACCATTCCAATTACTACCGCTAGTGATGACAACGGGGCGGATCAGGGACGGGTACACATTAAACCGAAACCGCCCCGTTGGATAAATGTTTGCCCCAAAACCGCCCCATTACCCGTTCGGATAATTTTTATTTGAACCGTACCCGCCCCAATGGGGAATCGGTTTATCCACGGGTAACCGTTTCCCCAAATGATACCAAATAATCATTTTTAAAAAACAAATAACCAATTCTTAATCCTACTTGTTATTTATATATTCAAAGCACCCTAAAACTTACAAAAGTAAATATTTAAGCAATCAAGCAGACTGGCCTAAATTTATTAGTATGACATTCACCTAATATCTCTTGTAACATAATAAAAAAGTAGTAATCATCCTAGAATCCAAATTCCAAAAACAAGTTTAGGCATATATTTAGTTTTAGGCCTAAATTAAAAAGTAGTATATTTTTTAGCATTATTTATATGATATATATTGTACTATTTAGTATACACAATTTAGCATATATACTTATTATTCTTATATATAAAAAGTAATAATTCATTAATAATGTTATGGATCGGGTAACGGTGCGGGTACCCGCACCATTAGTGAAAAGGGCGGTTTCGGGGCGGATAACAGGGCGGATTAGTATAGAACCATAACCGCACCATTAACCATTTAAAAAATTTGGGTATTCCCCGCCCCGTACCCATTCCCCAATCAAACCGGTTTTCTCCAGTTTGACCAAATCGGTTCGATGCGGGTATCCAACGGGTCGGCCGAAATTGCCATTTCTAACTACCGCCGCTCCAATGACCACTGTCTCAGTTTCCCAGCTACTACCGCTCCAGTGACCACCGTCCTAGTTTCTATCATTCCAGTGACCACCATCTCAGTTACTATCGCTCCAGTGAGAACTGCTAAGTGCTAACGATAGTGATGGTGACTACCAAAATCCATCAGTGACTCATCCCGCCAGTGATCTGCCGTCGCTAGTTTCAGTTACCTAATTCGTCAATAATAGTTACCCGATTTGACCCGTTACAATTATCAAACACCGATCAATTACAATTACCCGGTCCAATCATTTACGGTTACCAATTACCACCACCATCTACCACATTAGGA